TGAAGGCCACTGTCAGCTTTCTCAATGGAAAGCCACAATCTCTTTCCTAGTTTCCAGACTGTGCCAGTTCTCAGAGCCAGAGCCCAATGATAATAGGAGATGCTGGGTCCCCTGAGGGGCTTTAGCATGCCACTGTATACGGTATATGTAGACAGTAGTGATTTTCTCTGCCCTTCCGCAAATGGACCCAGAGCCATTTACCTGAATAAAATTCACCGAGGAGATGGAACATCTGGATCTTTCAACCAGAGGCTCTGACCCCACAGGGGGGAAAGTTTGAATCACCCCAGTGGACCGGCCCCCTAGACCAGCAGAAGAGCTGAAGGCAGGGGAATCTAGACTGGGGTGATGGGGGGATGAGGAGTATCAGTTATGGCCTCAGGGATAACTGCAAGTGCAGGGCTGTAACCGGTCCCTCTTCTTTGATAAGTGTTCTCAACCTGGAGTGGAGTCAATGTGAGACGTGAGTGGATCTGAGCAGGGCAAGGAGTGGCCTGGAGCAGATGCTGATTCTCTGCCCACATCTGTTTGAGTGGCTCCTTTGCATGGATGAGTGGGTTAGGGGTGCTTGCTGTGGACAGAGAATACAGACCAGGCATGCACCAAGACAGCTGTAAATATCAGCTGTGACCACGTGACCAGTTGCAAAAATGAGGGCTGTAATAGCTATGAGAACTTCATCCTTATTTTTATATAAATCTATTTATTACATATTAACCTTTTTTCTCTTTCCCTCTTCCATTCCCCAAACACCTAACATACAATGCATGAATAATAGTTAACTTTATACCTCAGTATTTAAGTGACTGGAAATTTAAGGCGGAACATGTCTCAGTGAGAAGAGGACTGACATCTCCCAAAGGTGGATAAAAGAACTTTGTATCCTCTTTTGGGGAGAGTCTGCATGGTTTTGGTCACACGAGGGTGGCCACACCGTGTTAGGTAAGCTGCTGTCTTTATTTGGAAGTTAAGTATGTTTGGTTACTTTGGTTTCAAACATACCTGAGGCCATATTCATGACTGCCTTGTACTCCATTTCCATCACAGTCCTCTGCCTTACACTTTTAAAATCCCGTATTAAACCACTGATCCATGATGAGTTGCACAGGAAAAAAGCAGCCAGTTACACTTACAAATAGAGAGCACAAGTCTGACTTTAATTCCGGATGAATCGTCATGTGCATGCCTCACATCTCAGCAATTGTCTTCAGGAGGTGTTGTGTTTACTTCTCACTGGAAGGAGGTAGGCAGTGCTGAGTGTGGAAATTCATAAAGCTTCTGCAGGGTGTCCCACTCCTGCAGATTCCCACCTGTGGAGAAACCCACCACATGTTGCCACCCTGGGTCTCTGGGTGCAGAGGCACTTCCTCTGTCCTGGAAGTTTTCCCGTCTTCTCTTCCAGAGGGGCACCTTTACCCACCGAACCAGTGGGCTTCCAGCAGCATCCATAAAGGTCACTGGAAGGTTGAGATTGGAAGGGTTTTCTTACTCATATGGACAAAACCCCCATAAAGCCCAGCCATGAACAATCTCAGGGGCCTCTCCTTTTCTGTCTCCCTTGATGGTTTTTCTGTGCTCAGATGGTAAATGTGGGTGAGTCCCAGGGCCTGTCCTGTGTCTGTTTCTTCTATGTCCACATCCTTATCCCAAGTGGCCCCAACCCATTTGCCCAAGATTCAAATTCCTGTCTCCAGCCCTGACGTCTCCCCAGAACTCCACGGCATCTCTCCCACCCCTTTTTGGCTTCTCCACTCCAATAGGCTTCTTAGACCAACTAGGCCCTCCCTCTATGCCCTGTCCCCAAGGTGACTCCTGAGTCCTGAGGACCAGCCAAGTTTGGACCTTGGAAGTCCCATGAGTGAGGCCCTGCCCCTGGGGCCCCTGCCCAACCCTGATCCTCTCCTTCCTCACCACGGCCCTCCCCCACCCTTGCTCTTGTCTTCTAACCACAGCCCAGCCCAGCCCCCAGCTGTCCTCACTGCACCCACCCCCTGTCAACAGTCTGGGTGGCAGGGACAGGAGCAGGCATCATCTTCGGCACCTTAGAGGGACAAGAGCCACCTCCTCTGAGTCATCTCTCACCCCGGCACCTTTGCCTAGAATAAATGTCAAGGGTGGATCCATCGTGGGGGCTATGGGTGGCACGGTCTCATCTGCCCTACCAGAGTCCCTAGGGCCTCTGCCTACTGCCCCACCCTAGCTGCCCTGCATCCTGAGCCTTGTCCTTGTGGCCCAGAAGTCACCCTCAACTCATCCTGCATTCACAGCTCCCCAGGCCAGTGGGTCCCAGACTGGGATTCCTACGTCAGGAGTGGGGGAATGTCAGTTGCAGCGACACATGACACTCCCCCATCTGCTAATCCCTGGAAGAGAAATCAAAGGGAGACAGGACTGAAGGGAGGGGAGAGTGTCACAGCAGTGAATGACTAAGACCCAGGGGGGGACCTGGCTCATGATGCCATAATCCCAGCACCTGAAGGCTGGGGGGCCAGGGCTGGGAGAGACCTGCAGTCACAGATCCCCACCTCCCCACCATGGCAGCAGTGGCTTCTTAGGTTGTAACCCAAACAGCCAGGGGACAACAGGCAATTTTAGGTGGGACACAGGGGCCAGATTTTTTTTTTTTTTAAAGGTGACCGGTAAGGGGATCTTAACCCTTGACTTGCTGTTGTCAGCACCACGCTCTCCCAAGTGAGCCATGGGCCAGCACAGGGGCCAGATTTTTTTTTTTTTTAAAGGTGACCGGTAAGGGGATCTTAACCCTTGACTTGCTGTTGTCAGCACCACGCTCTCCCAAGTGAGCCATGGGCCAGCACAGGGGCCAGATTAAGTAACTTTCTATTACATGGTGGTTTTGCTGTTGTTATATGGGGCATATAAAGGTATTGCCGTTTGAATTACGTTTTTGTCCTTTTGTTTTCCGCCTAGTATTTCCAAGTTTCCTGGTCACGTGAATCCCGGAATCTTGCAGCATCCTTTGATCTCCAGAGGTTCTCCACCCGAGGAAGCAGCTCAGGAACTCTCTGGACATTTTTGCTAACCAGACACGGGGCCGCATGGCCAGAAAGCACATCTCTACAGTCTGTTTGGGCCTGAGGGCAGGAGCCTCACAGCCCTGTCCTCCTCCTGACTTGCTGACCCCCAGAGCAAACGATTTGAAGCGTGAAGATGAGCACATCCAGGGCCCATGCCAACTGTCTGGTGGCTTTGTAAATTTTCACAATGTTTCCCTCTTCGCAGTGGAGACAGCCCACCTGAGGACCCAGGCCTTCGTGGGGGAAGACGAGCCAGATGACCTGAGGCTCCCTTACCCCTGGCCCTGGCAAGGGCTCCACCTCTACCTTCCCACCTGCAGTTTCAGCCACATTAAGTGGTTCTTAGACTTGAATCAATTTTTGCTCTTCCACCCTTGCTCATGGCAGCGGAACTCTGCTTTTCTGTGTTTGGGTCACATTTCTGTCATTCTGTACTGGCAGCCAGGTAGGGCTGACTGATTCATATGTGTTGGAACATAGAGCATTAAGAAAAGAAGTTTTACTTGGGAAGAAAGGAGGCCAGGCCTCAGAAGTCTGGCTCACCAAGTGTGAAAATAAAATAGGATTTAAAAAAAAAAACTCAAAAAGTTACCAAGAGTATAAGGAATCTTCATTTTTCCTACGGTAATCATATTTGCAAGGGTTTGTAAAAGTCAGGAGTAAGGTTGTTTTTTGTGAGGGAGTCAGGAAAGGGCTTAGGGCTGTATCTATTATTGGGACTAGTGCTAGACAGAGGGACCCAGGGGTGGTCCTTCCTGCCCCTCTGTGATGTTTAATCATCATAATGGCAGTAGGGCTTTCTTAGCAATTAGGTAAATATCTCTTTGGGCTCACCCTTGGGCTGTATTTGTGCCGTGTCAGGGGGTTGGCTGACAAATCCCAGAATTCTCTGGTAAAATGGAGAATCTCCTGGGAAAAAGATGAAGTCAAATCTATAAAACACAAAAGAGCTCCACTCGTTATTGGTCTTTTCTCCCTTTGAGTCAGCTGTGGTATCTTTTAGGAAATAGTGATGGCCCTCCAGTGAGGACTTGGGAATTGGAGTCCTGGCCCCTGATTGCTGTGTAACAAGTTTCCTTGCCTGTAAAGTGGGAGCAGCAGTGTCTATTGTTCTGAGTTGGGCAAAGCAATACATGCAAATGGGCCTGGCTCACAGAATATGTTTGTTGCATCCGAAGCAAGGAAGAGTCCAACATCTTCTCTTTGCTCTGGCTGGGTTTGCTATGAGATCAGGCTTTCTGCTAGGCCATGGTTAAAATGTTCAGACATTGCAGATTAAGACTTTGTGAGGACCCCAGGTGGCAGAGTGATGACTTTAGGAACCTCCCTTGCAGAGGAGAATCCTTCTCTCTCGTGGGGTCTGGAGGTGATGCCATCCAAGCCTATGACATCAGCCACCACCCAGACATCTGTCCTAAGCCCTGGACCTGAGGAATTATTGATTTCCCAGAGTTAGATGTTCCAAAGGTCTAAAGCTCAATAGAGCCACATGGAGCTCTCAATCCCTGGCCAAGCCGGCAACTCCTGTTTTCTCCCTTCAGTGGTTGGCAAGACCATCCATATGGAGACTTGAGTCAAAAACTCAGTCCTTCTATATGTCTTCTGCTTCTCCTAATGCCTTCTGTTTCAGTTAACTATCACTGTGCAATACACTGCCCCCCAAACAGTCACTTAAAACAACAAATATTTTATTATTTCTCATGGTTTTGCAAGTTGCCTAGGCTCAGCTGAGCGCTTCGTCTGCTCCATGTGGTGTTAGCTGGGGCTGTGTCATCTGAGGGATCAGTGTGGCTGGAACGCCCAAAAAGGTTCATCTCAAGGCTGGTAGTTGATTCTGGTGGTCAGCTGGGAGCTCAGTGGGGTTGTTCACTGAAGCACCTGCACGTAACCTCTCCATGTGGCCTGGGCATCTCTCTGAACATTGGCTGGGTCCTGAGAGACAGCATTCCGAGAGACCTGGACTTGGAAACTGCAAGGCTTCTATGATCTTGCCTTGGAAGTTGTGTTATATCACTTCTGCCAAACTCTATTTATCTAAGTAGGCCACAGGCCCAGCTCAGATCAAGGAGAGGGAAACAGACTTGACCTCTCAACAGGAGTAATAGCAAACAATTTTCAGTCATCTTTTACCTACCACATATCCCATTCAATTGTGCACCAAGTTTTGCCTTGAAATTAAGCCCAAAATGTTCATCCTATCTTCTTTCTGGATTGTTATTTCTTCAGTATTCAGGACTCACACTGAGAGTTGGGCTAAGAGTAGTGAACACAGGCCTATGCTGTCATTGTGGGTATCTGGGCCCCCATTCCACTGCTCCTCCCTGAGATCAGGCCCCAAAAGTCTATGACAAAGTACAGAATCCTCATCACACCCTTCTCATGCCCAATCCTACCCCCTCCTCCTTTTCAATTATTTCAATTATTTTTGAGGTTCTTTCTGATATTTATGTAACAATTTCTAAGTAACGTGCCTATACTTCATTTCTTGATATCATTTTAGATATTATCTATTGACTCCCTCTACTATCCTCCGATTTCCTTTCTTGCATCTTCTCAATCTAGTTCTATCACAATTTTTGATAAACCCGTAGTCAGCACTTACCCTGCCGAGTGGAACTGTGTACTATGACTGTGTTGTTTTCTTGTACATCTTTCTGTTGTTCTGGCTTGCCCTTTGCTCGCACTCACTTGGTTATTTGCTCCATCACCTTTCTCTGTCAAATGACTACAATCTTTTTTCCTTAAATGATCTAATGTATCAGATCTATCAGTTCCATGTTTCCCACTGGAGACCCACATTCTGGAGCCTTCTAACTCTCTCCTAAAATCTGAGCTATTGGTCTCTAGGCTTGCTGCTGAGTGGTCATCCTGGACCTCTCGTCACTATTTCCAGTGTTGGTTTTCTGGATTTGGGGGGTTCCTGAGGGGTAGATTATATCTCCTTATCTTTCTTGAATTATTCCCTTATATTGCTAGAATACATCCTCCAAAGCTTCCTAATACAGAAGTGTAGAAATTAAGGTTTTTATTGTTCTACATACTGTAGAGGGTTAACATCTTGTGATACGTTCTGCTAAGAGGACGGCCATGACCTCTGGCCACAGCCAGAAGAGACACATGGCACCAGTACCCATGCGGGACATGCTATGCACACAGTGTTTCTAACACCAGCTGTTAGAAACTGCTGCAGCCTTGAACTCAAGGGAATATGCAGCATAGTCTATTCAAATAAGATCTCAGGAGGCTCTGCCCCAGGGACTCCGCCACCTTTATCCCTGTTTGTATACTCTTCTCATGGCTTTCATAATAAATATCCATTGGACTTTGGCTCTAGGCCTCCACTAGCTTAGTGAACAGTCAGTCACTCCTTGTCCCTCGGTTGCAACTGCCATTGTCTTCAAGTAGTTCATCATTACTGTCTCCGCTTCAACATTTGCCATGACACACCTTTTTATAAAATGTCATTTTTCTATCCTCGTAATGGATAGTTTAGCTGGATATAGAAAATCATTTTTCTCAGAATTATGAAGGCAGTGCTCTTCAAGAGATCTATTATCCAATATGGTGGCCATTATACAACATGGTATAGTTAATAGCAATATATGGTGGTCCTTTTATTTTTTTTTTTGGTGGCTGGCTGGTATAGGGATCTTGAACCCTTGACCTTGGTGTTATAACACTACACTCTCACTGACTGAGCTAACTGGCCAACTCTAACAATATATTGCATTCTTGAAAATTGCTGAGAGTAGATTTTAAGTGCTCTCACCACAAAAAAATGGTATGTGAGGTAATGCATATGTTAATTAGCTTGACTTAGCCATTCCACAATGTATACATATTTCAAAACAACATATTGTACATGATAAACTTATACAATTTTTATTTGTCAATTAAAAACAAATTTTAAAAACAAAAAACCAAAAAAACTTGACATATTATCTGCTGTTCATCTTCTTTCTCAGACAACTGAGTGTACACATCATAATGCCTGTTCTCACTCCTAGTTAAAAATAATGATAAGCTATGGAAAAACAAAAGAAATAACTTGAGGCTCCAAAGAAAAGCAAAAACCTTGAATAAATCTAAATTCCTTAAACAAATAAAATAAAATTTAGTTCTTCTTTCGTCCACTAGTTTAAATGATTAAGGAACTAAAATTTAAAATTGTATGTAATTGCAATTAATTTAAACCTAAATTTAAATAGCCATATGTAGCTAGTGATTACCAAATTGGACAGCACAGAATTAGAGTATGTGGGAGAGGGGGTGTTCTCTGCATTTCCAAGTTCTTTTTTTTTTTCCCCAGTTGGTTAACTTTGATCTCTTGTTCCTATTGAAGGCCTTCTTTAAAGGGTCTTGTGTTCTTTAGCTACCTGTTCATGGTTAAGAGTGAAGCACTAAAATACTAACTAGAAGTTCTGGGACTGGGGGCAGGGCTTGTCAATCAGGGAGATTTACTGTGGGGGAATTGCTGGTGAGCTAGGTGGGGACCATAATATGTCAGTTTCTAGTGATAGTATTTTTTCCTGGGGCCATTTAGTTCCCAAGTGAATTCTTCAAACCCCTTCTGAGGTCATATGCCTAGCTGGTGTCATGCTGGACCATGAAGAAAAGTGTTTGTGGGTATGAGGTGGGCAGGCAGGGGGCCAAATGTGGTTCACATCATTTAGAATGCACACTCTTTCTCCTCTTCCAGTATGAGCTCTGGGCCTTCTCCTGCCCTCTACCACCTGGGGTCTGGTCTCCTGCTTCACATTTGCCTTTCTGGTCATTAGTACCTCAAGGTCTGAGGCTTTCTGGGCTGCCTCAGTTTGCTTCTCATTTATGTTCCCTCCACCAGTGCTTACAATGGCCCCTTTCTCTATTCCACCACGTCATCCATTCTTCTTTCCATTTCTGGCTCCAAACGTGTTGGAATTTCTCATCCACTGATGATTCCTTCCTGTTCTCTTTGTCCTTGAGGATTTATAACTTTTTTTCCTCCTTTACTATACTTTTAGTGGCATTTTGGGAGGGAAATGTTATAATACATGAAGTCAGTTCTCCATATTTAATCAGAAATACCTACCTTCAGTTTCTGGCAACTTCTAATCCATCCTCCCCAGTGTTGCTGTGAGGATGGTTTGAAAACTCCAACCTGACGTTCCCTCCTCTGGTTAAATTCCTCCTGTGGCTACTTCCTTCTGGACCAATGCTTTGTGACTTCAGTTGTGCTTATCATATCTACATACCTATTGTACTATCACTTACTTAACATTTCTCTTTAAACCCATTCGCTTTTTAGCAGAAATAAATTTATAGTGGTTATTGATACAGTTGGATTAGTATCTACCATATTTCTTACTGTTTTCTATTCATTTCCCTTGTTCTTTTTATTTTTGTCTTCTGCTCTTTTTCTACCTTTTCTGGTTTTAAGTGAGAATTTTATATGATTCCATTGTTTCTTCCTTCTTAGTGTATCATTATATTTCTTTTAAAAAAAATTAGTGGTTGCCCTTGATTTTATTTTCTTTATTTATTTTAAAAAGATGACTGGTAAGGGGCTCTTAACCCTTGACTTGGTGTTGTCAGCACCACGCTCAGCCAATAGAGCCAACCAGCCATCCCTATATAGGGATCCGAACCCGTGGCCTTGGTGTTCTCAGCACCACACTCTCCCAAGTGAGCCATGGGCTGGCCTGCTTGATTTTAAATATACATTTATAACTAATCAAAATCTCCTTTCAAATAACACTATACTGATTCACATGTAATTCAGGTACTCTATTCCAGAGTATTCCTAATTCCTCCCTCCTATCCCTTACACATCACTGTCATCCATTTCACTTATCCATAAGCAATAATCACAGAATATATTGATGCTATTATTATTTTGAAAAAACTATTATCCATTAGATCAGTTAAGAATAAGAAAAAAATAAAATACTTCTAATGTTTTTCCTTTCTTTATGTAGATCTGAGTTTATGACCTATATAATTTTCCTTCTTTCTGAAGAACTTCTTTTAACACTTATTTCAAAGCAGGTCTACTGTTGACAAATTCTCTCAGTTTTTGTTTGCCTGAGAAAGCCTTTATTTCTTCTTCACTTTTGAAGGATAATTTTATTGGATACATAATTCTAGGTTGGTGTGTTTTTCTTTCAATACTTTAAATATTTCATTCCACTCTATTCTTGCTTGCATGGTTTCTGTAGAAGTCTGACACAATATCCTTCCTCTTCCGTACGTGAGGTGTATTTTTTTCCTCTGGCTTCTTTCAAGATTTTCTCTTTGTCTTTGGTTTTCTGCAGTTTGAATATGATATGCCAACTCGTAGATTTTTTAATATTTATCCTACTTGATGTCTCAGAATTTCCTGGATCTATGTTTTGGTGTTTCCCATTAATTTTGGAAATTTCTCAGCCATTATTACTTCAAGTATTTCTTCTGTTCCTTTCTCTCTTTCTCTCCTCCTGGTATTTCATTATACTTATGTTACACCTTTTGTAATTGTTCTATACTTCTTAGATATTCTGTTCTATTTTTTTCACTCAGCATTTTAATTTTGGAAGTTTCTATTGATTTTTTTAAAGCTCACTGATTCTTTCCTCAGTTGTGTCTAGTCTATTGTTGAGCCCATCAAAGGCATTCTTTATTGCTGTTACCTCATTTTTTATATCTAGCATTTCCTTCTGGTTCTATCTTAGAGTTTCCATCTCTCTGCTTATACTGCCTATCTTTTCTTGCATGTTGTCCACTTTTACCATTACAGCTCTTAACATGTTTATCATACTTGTTTTAAATTACCAGTCTGATAATTTCAACCTCTCTGCCATAGCTAAGTCTGTCTCTTCAAGCTGTGTTTTTGTCTTGTAGTATGCCTTGTAATTTTTTGTTGAAAGCCAAACACGATGTACTGGGTAAAAGGAACTGAGTTAAATTGGCTTTTATGTGATGTTTTATGTTTATCTGGCTAGGCATTAGGCTTTGTTTTCTGTTTGCTGCAGCTTTAGGTGTTAAGAGACTAAACTTTTCCTCTGGTCTCCTTGTTTTTATCTCTCGTATTATCTTTTTATTTCTTTAGATACTTCTTACATAAGGTCTGAGACATGCAGTTTATTCATTGTATTTCCCTGTTATTATAGAGGAGACCTATTGATAAAGCAGTAAGGTTTAAGGGGAGAGGAAGCATTCTACAATTTTAAGTCTGAAGGTTTTAACTTTCAGACTAGTCCTCAGTTGAGCCTTCAGGAATTTTTTCAATTACCGTTAAACTTTTTCTACTCCAGTGCAGGTTCCCGTGGCAGTTCCTGCTCCTAGGCTTTTGGTTCAGTAAGCTGTAATTCTCTGAATCCACCTGTATGTGCCTCCAATTTTTAGGCCAGCAGTTTGCCCTGTGACCTCAGTTGTCCGAAGACTCGAAGTTGAGTTGTTAATTTTCAGTCTGTTTAGATTTTTTTCTTGTGGTGAGGACACACTGGCAACTTCCAAGCTCCTTACATGTTGAACTGGAGATCAGAAGTCCAACTAAACTTATTTTAAAAGACAATCTAAATACTGTAAATGGAAAACCAGTGTCACTTGGGGTAAGTAAAAGGTAGCTGTAAAAATAAATACAATGGAAACAAAACAATTTTGTTACATTATCGTGAGATCCAGTTGCCTGCTGAAAGTTCTGAATTCAAGGCCTGCTTGCTCTTTGTTTACAAGGGAGAGGAGCAAGTATGAGAGAGGTGTTAAAGTCCAGCTAATCCCAGATAGAGACTTTCTCTTTGATGTTATCGAAGAAGTGAAGGAGAGTGAAAAGGTGACTGCTTTAGAATGGAATTCAGTGTTATTGAATGTCCTTTCCCAGTACCTCCTAAAATTACCTCTACCCCACATGACCTAAAGGAGAAAAATCTGAATTCCTTAGCTTAGTATAAAAGGCTTTTTAGACTCTCTCTGGACCCTTTCTACCTTCTAGGCTCTTTCCTACAACATTCCAAAAGGCACTAAAAATTCTGGCCATAAATCTATTTTACCCTCCCAATTTACTCTCTAGATAGTTGCCTGCTTTAGAATAAGTAAACAATGAATAGTGCAATAACATATAAACACAAACCAATCTTGAATAATGCAATTAAAAGCTGCCCACCAATGATTTTTGCCTCTTGCTCCTAGCAGCACAGCTGAGGAGGTTGCTCAGTGACCAACTGAAGGAGGGTAAGGGAGAGACAGGTGGGAGGGGGGGTTTAGGTTGTCCATGGCCTTGGGAGCTGCTGGACCAGCACTAGATCACCCCCCTCAGGATGACTCTCACCTGAAGACCCTTGGTTTGTGTAAAGTGTCACTTAGTTGGACTTTCCTGTTACTCACTGCTGAACTCAATCTTAAAAGATTTCCCCAAATTCACCTGGGGAAAAATAATGTAATTTTAAAGTAGTTACATCAAAATAAGATGTAAGACATCTACTGGGCTCCAAAAAGTAAATCATACCCTTCTTGTATTAACATAATTCCCATGTCACTCATATATCTATCAACAGTTTTGGGGGGTGGGGGTGGAAGTGGGGAAAATATCCAAATGTATTCATGAAACAGAGTTCACCAGGGTTGTCCTCTGTCCAGTTCCTGCTCTGTCCTGCACAGTGGACGCTGGTTGTGAGTACTCTGTCTGCGGGCTTATTCTGTGCATCAGCCTTCCTGTGGCTCACCAGCAGGGACCTGGGGGTAGTGAGGACGTAGGAGGCATGTGGGGGCATTTGGAATTCTGTGAGGCCAAGGATGTACTCCTTTGAGCACATGGCTTTGGGCCGGCTCTGAGTCTGCACAGCCCTAGCTGCAGACATGTGCTGCCCTTCAGGGACTGGCCCCTTGGCTGGGCAGAGCTCCCTCCCACTCAGCTCTCAGGACTTGCACAGCTGTCTCCTCCTACAGGAAGCCCTCCTGGGATCCTCTTGAGATCTCACACCCAGCCTGGCACAGAGGGGTGCTGATTGATGTCCCCACCTAGCCCCCACGTCCCCAGAGTGAGGATGGGGCAGTAGTGTCCCTGTTAAAAAAACCCAGAACTGGACAGTAGTTAAAGTGGAAAAACTGATTTTATTCAGGGACTATTGCAATTGGAGAAAAGAGATCGCAGTATAGAACTTGGCTCAGTTCAGAATAGGGCAGGGCAAGTAGGGATTTATAGCCAAGGAGCAGGCTGAGGGGTGGGAAATGTCAGTGGATGGGAAAATACTAAAGGAGGCAGATTCTGTTTAAACAGACTAGCAGAATTCTTGCTGAAGGTGGGCCAGGGTGATCAGACATCATCTGGGGGTGGTGGGAAATGAGGGATTTGATCAGATATTGAGGGTGGGGATTCTGGCTAAACTGACTTGACAGGATTTTTACTACAACTGGGCGATGCAAAGATGGGCACAGAAGCTCAAAGCTTGAGGCCGAGATGAGAAGAGGCTCAGAGGAGCCTGGAGTTTGGTCAGGAGAGAGAGCCTTTGTCACCAGCCCCTCTTGCTGCCCCTGTCTGCAGTCGAGACCCCACCCCTGCCTGTTCCTTTCCACTTTGTTGCAGGCACCTGGACTTGATCTGGCCCTGCCTGGTGGACATTTTTGTCCTCTCTGTCTGCTCCTCCTTTCTGCCCCCTGACAGCTCCTGGGCCCAGTGGCCACTGGTCCCAGCACACCCTGTAGCTGTCTGGGCGGGAGGTTGTGATGGACTCAGCACCTGGGGGACATGAGCATCCGAGGGAGGGGCTGGGGCAGGCAGGAGGGGCTCCCTCTGGAAGGGCAACAGGCAGACCGAATCTGGTTTTTCACAAAGACGTCAGGAATCACAAGGCCAAGCCACCTGGCTCCCCATGTCGATGCTTCCAAAGGGATCAGTTTCCTGCTGAATAACAATTCCCATTTCCACAGCTAAACCATGTCAACTTGTCACCTTGAAGCTTTGTCACCTTCCATCTGAGTTACCTCAACAGACTTTGGATGGGTCCCTGCCACCCACTTGGACCCCCTGCCAGGATCCCATCTGTCTTGGCAAATCATGACCCTCCCCTGCCATGGAACTCCCATGGGGTTGTGAAGCTCCAGCCATGGGACCGCCTGGCCACCCGGACTTGCCCCAAGCTCCCACCTTGGGCTCTTGCTCTGACCAAGTGTCCCCTGCCCCACTGTGTCCCATCTTTGGCCACTTTTCAGGCTTGGCTAAAATGTCACCTGTCCTATGAAGGCAGGGAACCTCCTCACCTCTGCTTCTCTTCAGCTCCCGGCCCGTGGCTCTCAGGGTGCAGCTCACAGTCGGGACTCCAGGACTGGCCCTACCCCAGGCCTGACACACCGAGGTTGGGGCTCTGGGGCCCTCGCTGCCTTGTCATACCTCCCCCCACCCAAACATGCCAGTGCCGTGGTGCAGGAGGAGCTCAAGCTGAGACTGAGAGGGCCTGCTGCCACCCTCTTCCCAAACTCACCTCTGTCAGCTGACCCCCCACCCCCCAAAAAAACTGGGCCCAGCAGCAACATCCACCAGGGTATTTGTTTTTCTTGTTCTTGCAGCTTCCTGCTCTCTCAGGGTACACAGGCCCAGGCAGGCCTTGCCTCAGGGCAGGCTGCCAACCACCTCTGCTCTCTTCTTTGGCTGGTGTAAGCAGCTGGGTGGCAAGTGGACCAGCCCCTCATACCAGCAGGCTAGCTCGCCCTCCCAGGCCACCTCCTGCTTGGCAGAAGGCCTCAAGCCCTTTATGGGTGAGGTGTTGGGGGCACTGTCTGCTTTCAGTTTTTAATGGAGTGGGATGGGTTTCCTTCTCTGATGTTCTTTGGGTTTCCAGTCCCCAGGTGCCTGGCAGGGAGGCAGACAATTGACGTATCTAGATCCCAGCCCATCATGTCAAAAAGCAGCATCAGATCACCCCGGCTCCCAATCCTCCATAACATGGAATACCAACACCCTGTCTACGTTTATCGTTGTTATCAAAGCACTCTATCACTGCCAGGCAGGACTGTAATTTTTAGTTCTGAGAGTCCCCTGGTAAGTTCCAATGGCCCTAAATCGCATCTTCCTGCAAGTGGGGGCAGGGCCTTAGCTGAAGCTGGATTCATGAGTTTGGTCGCCTCAGGCTGTCCTGGAGTGCAATGAGCCCTTTAGGCTGTCTGGCTTTTCCTCTTGTCGTTACCCTCCCTGTGGACAACCCCCATCCCTGCATCCCACAGCCCTGAGACCCCTACCGGGTTTTTATATCCTTCAGCACATGGTTCCCAGAGTGTGGTGAGCCACGTGGCTCCCATTTGAAGGCCTCTGTCTCTGCCCCCTCTCCCTGCCACACAACTTGAGAGTGGGGCCTGAGCTCTTCAGAGATCCTGGGGAATGAGCTCAGGGCCTGGCACATGGCAGGTGTGTGATGCACTTGGGCTGACTGTGAGACTGCGCACAAGTGTGCATGTGAACACGTGCCCCATTGAGAATGAAGGAAAAGCAAAGTGTGTGTGTGTGTGTGTGTGTGTGTGTGTGAGAGAGAGAGAGAGAGAGAGAGAGAGAGAGAGAGAGAGAGAGCTGGGAGCCCATGGATAAGGCTGCTGGCCTCAGAGGTGGGGAGGGGTGCAGTTTTGCTCCCTGAGAACCCACAGGGAGGGGTGGCCAGAGACGGCCAATGGCGAGGACTTGCCTGGGACTGTGAGATTCATGAAACCCAAGTAATAGGACCACATGGTGCTTTCAGGAACGTCGCTGCTGCATAAGAGTTTCACAAAGATGCTGTGAGGTAAGGGGGAAGGAACAAGAGGGCCAAGGCCAGAACCTGAGTCTCACCAAGCAGAGAGGCCCACTTGGCAGGGGCTCTGCCCCACGGCAGTGTCCAGGGCCCATGCCTACAGCTTCCTGGGGCAGCCAGCCCTGACCCCTGGCAGTTCTGGACTTAGGTGGCCAGAAGGTTCAGGGCCTGGTGACTTCAGAACAAGCATGGGCCATTTGGGACAGCCTAGCACTGCCAGTACCAATTAGGCAGATGATGCTGGGCCTTGGGGAGGGTTGTCTGCTGAGGCTTGGCCGGTTTGAGGCTATTGGCAAGACCCACACCCCAGTATCCAATGTGGGTCCAGTGGAGAGCAGAGCCAATGGAAAGGGTCGGGGGGTTGCAAGAGAGGGGAAGTGTATTTATTTGACTGTAAAATGAACACTGATACTAGGGCCAGCCCATGGCTCACTTGGGAGAGGGTGGTGCTGATAACACCCAGGCCACAGGTTCGGATCCCTATATAGGGATGGCCGGTTAGCTCACTTGGCTGAGCGTGGTGCTGACAACAGCAAGTCAAGGGTTAAGATCCCCTTACCGGTCATCTTTAAAAAAAACAAAAACACTGACACTAAGTGTCCTATCATGAGGCTCGGTTTAATTCTTACAGAATGGTGGGCAGTCCGTCAGAACACACTTTGTTCTTAAAGTCACAGGTGTGGGGCAGGAGAGAGGGTCACCTCTGGGGAGCAGGCCTAATTTTGACCTGGGATATGCTGAGCTTGGTGAGCTGTGGGGCTTTTGCCTGGCTGCACCACTCAGAGTCCTGAGTGAGACACTTTGGGGACTCTGTCACAGGGCAGGAGAAAGAAGAGGTGACCCTCACAGATAGTGGGGGGGGGGAACCAAGGGTCCAAGGAGTGGCAGCCTCTCTGCTCGGCCTCTACCCTGGAAAAGGGCAATGGGCTGAGTCGGGAGACTCAGGCAGGGAACAGAGCTGAAGGAAGGCTGGAGCTTCCTTGAAGCTCCAACCTTCCTTGTTGAGTGGGGAGAAAGGGCAATGGGCTGAGTCGGGAGACTCAGGCAGGGAACAGAGCTGAAGGAAGGCTGGAGCTTCCTTGAAGCTCCAACCTTCCTTGTTGAGTGGGGAGGGTCTGATGGACTCCACCTTTGAAAATCTCTGCAGAGAAGGAAGAGGAAGAAATGGAGCCTTGGATTTGGTATCACATAGGGACAGGTCAAGAGGAGATGCTGAGGAGAATTGAGGAGATGCTGGGGTCCCTGCCTGACAAAAGTGGAGGTCCAAAGGCAGAGATAGAGCTGCTGATTTGCTGTTATCCACCCCTCCCCCAATTTGTTCTCTACCTGGCTCTTGGCCCTTGGAGACTGACCCCTGAGGGCTGTATCCCCCAGGGTCCCTTGCCCTCCACATTACAGATGGATCTGGCCAATGGGAAGCACTGGCAGGTGACAGGGTATGGGAGGGCAAGGTTGGGTATTTTCCCCTGGCAACACTGTCCCTCCATAATCACAGTTCCCATCAGGTGACCACATCTCCACACCTCCTGCTCTCTCCAGGCTTGACAACATTCTGGCCTCCCCTGCTCCTTCAGGTCTAAGGGTGGCAAAGGCTGCCAGTCTCTGTGCCTCCACATTCCTGTTACTTCCCTTTACCTGGCCAACACTGCACTTGGTTAGTTAATTATTCTGCAGTCAGAGCCCTTCATTGGAACCACCTGGGGGCTAATGCTGAACCTGAGAGGTCAGGTAGGCTGGGGAAGGGTGTAAACTAGGGGTCCAGGGTGCGAAAGCTTAGATATGCACAGGATCAGGTGGTGCCATGCATACGTGGGACAGGAAGAAGGTGGTGGGGAGTGGTGGGCACTGAGGAGAATGGTGAAGCCCAGTCTCATCCAAGGGGTCACTTCTCAGGCCCAACTGACCGCTGGCATGCAAACCACAGGCTCTGTGTTGCCAGAACTTGTGATTTTTCAATGTACTTTAAATAACAGTGGAACTCAATTTTTAAATGTTAATTATTAACTTCAAAACATTTAAAAACACCAAGAACCAAGCATAGTCATTGTGAGGGGTCAGACTCAGCTGGTAGGCAGGCAGTTGTTGTTTGGGAAAGGCAAGGCTTTGTGGGGGGTTGCACCCCTCTGCAGGACAGAGGTTTAAGTCTTCGGTGGGTCTGAAAAGCTCACCAGCCAGAGGCTGAGGTTCTGGAGGGGAGAGAATTTATTGCAGGCAGGTTGGAAGCTACTTCTAGCCCAGTCAGGTTGCTGCCCTGTCTTGAGGGTCCAAGTTGGAGGGTACACCACAGAAAAGTCAAGAATTTAATGGTACGGGTGGGGTGAGAGCCGAGCCACACCATTCCAGGCTGAAAAAAGGCCCCAGACTTCTGCAGGTGCCAGAGCTCACCATCGGACCCCAGCTGCGTTCCCTGGGGTGGATGTAGACAGGTTTTGGGGAGGGCTTCGGGTGGTGGCTGACTCCCACGTCCCTCCCCGCAGCTCCTATGGCTGCCTGTCACCTATGCCTCTGCACTGGTTATCCCTCGCTAGGACAGCCCTTCCCTCCTCATGACCCCACCACAGGTCCCTCCGAGTGCGAGTGCGGCCTCTGCAACCCCAAGCCCTTCCTGCATTCAGCTGCCCCGGCCCACCCGACCCCCTCCGTCCTTGGCCACATCTGTCCATCCGCCCTCCCCACCCCCAGACGTTCCCCAGCGTGGGCCCCGGCTCACTAGTGACCCGGGAAGTGGGTCTGGCCCACCTGCTCCAGTCCTGCTTCTACATCACCGGCAAGGGATACGCTCCCCTTCCCCCACTCGCCCCTGACCACGTCAGGGTCTGACCGCACGAGAGCCGGACGCCCCCAAGAGGCCCCCAAGGGGGTCATCGCCGCCCTCCAGCGTCGTGGGGTCCGGGGAGGGTCACCGGACGGGCGGGGCGGGCCTAGCATGGGTCCCGGCACTCAGACTCCCTTGTGTGAACGAGGAGGACGCCGGGTTTGGGGGACGGGGTACCGGGTACCGGGGCGGCTGGACCTCGCGGGCGTCCCTAGGGGCGGGCCG